CATTTACATAACAATAAGAATCACTTCCAGTCATATGACATGCATTTAAGTGATACGTATATTATGTAGTTATTTAAAATGTATAGTTTTTACTGATCTTTTTTTAATTCTCAAAAGTAAAACTCAAAATTGATGTTTTTGTTTTTAAAATCGCTGTTCCGCGCAAAACAATGGCTAATGTCTCACCGTGGGTAATGTTATGTTCATAGCGTATGTAATAATAGTTATTATTACATATATATATTATTATAACTATGTGTTAGGTTTGGTTTTGTACGTCGAGATTTTTGTGTACGAAACATAATTAAATATTTTTAAAATTGTAACTAAGAGTAACTTGGTAAGATTCGATAGTCGATCATGACCTTGAGATAATATCACTTTAATTACATTTTAGTAAGATAAAAATTCGTATTACCTAAGTGTTGAATTTATATTTTTAACTCAATTTTATGACATTCGACCTGTTTTGTGAAGTTAAATGATGCACAAAAGAGAACTTAAGATATTGCCTGGTATATTGCAAAAGGCATTTAAAGGTCAGTGAAAATCTACCTCAATTGGGTTAAATCGTGAGATCTGTATGTATCCGACATGAAATAGAAATATATACGGGCTGATAGAAAGTAACCGCGTGGATCTGAATACTGCTTGTAACAAGATCGTGACCGTGCGACCGGCGAAAGTGAACAAACACGAGGAGAAGGGTGTGGGAGGGGGTTAAATTGTACTATTATATGTATTATCTTTTATTGTTATTTATGTACTCATTTCGTAATTATATTAAGTTTTCACACGAGGACAGAATGGTAAAGGAGAGCAGTAGACAGTGCAGTACCAAAACAGCACTTTCCTGACAACTCAACTTTGTGTTGTACTGTCTACTAATCTGTCATGTAATTCTGCCCTTGTGTACAACCACGTTATAGTAAACGAGCATTAACATTATACAATGACTCTCAAGCATTATGCTACGTTCATCTATTGTTCAAGTGATGTGTGTTACGAAATACAAAACCAGAAATAACAAATACAAAAACTCAGCTGTTTATCTATTTATTTAGCTGTTATGTTGAAACAAAGAAAACCTTACGATATGTTAGTCTTACTTTGTTAAGGTTTACGTTGATCCACTTTAGTATGTGTTTGAATGAAGTATAAGGCTTTTAGAAATGAATGTAAAATTTCCGTTGTTCGCCTTCCCCAACAATAGTAGATAGATGTAGAAAAATAATGACTTTAGTTTTAAATTTGGTCACGTTTTAAGATGATATCGATTCAAGGACTGTGGCATAAAATTTTAACAACAGTTGATAAAGGTTTGATCATGCCATATATTAAAATTAGAAGTACATGTTCTGATGTTGGAATAAGTTGCCCAATAAAACAACCTTGACTTTTTTGTTGATGTACACCCAAAAGGCAGAAAACGTTCGAAAAGATTTGGTATGGTATGATATCGGCTTTATATAATATGATGGCGATCTCATCGCTGCTTTAGTGTACAAAAAAATGTACTCTTATCAATTTTAACTGTAAAACACTGAGCAATATTATACCTGTCGCCTCGCAGATATGAGTCAATAGAATTCTGTCCGCGTAGGTGTGATTCCTTAAACTTCCGTCGTCGGCGTCAGTGGACCGGACACGGGGTAGCCTTTTATCGTCGTCATGTCTTACGTCTTGCCGGCACTTGATACGAATGGTTGATTCACCTATCCGTAGTAATTCGCGGAACCGACGATCGGGTAAAACGAGTTCGAGTCGATTCATATTGGTATCTTGTGAAGCAATCTCAGCGAAATTAAAATTTACCGGTAGACGGTGCCTGGACTGGGAACAATGAATAATTGCATGTAGACATGCTAACTTTTACGTACACGGAATAGAACTTATGTAATTCAAGAGTGTTTTGCATTCTTTAATTTACTAGAATAGAGATTAATCATTGATAAAACCTCAAGTGGACGCACCATTGTTGGGTGTAGCTATAGATTCTCCTATACCCGGGGTGGTCAACCGGTCGATCGCGACTATTAGTTCAGTCGATCATAAAAAGAAAAAAAATATAATTACATGACGAAGCTTAAGATGCTTAGATGTAATAATCGCACACTCACATTAATAAATAATATGTATTAACTAAAAACAATATTCAGTTTTATGATCTTATCAATTTAAAATTTTACAAACAATTTAACAGGACCAATGGCACTTATATAAGGTTTTGTAAGTATTGATATTATAACCTGGTCAACAAATAGGACATAGATTGTTGAACCTAACGTCATCATACCATAAATTGCGTTCTGCGTACAAGTGTTAGAAAATTCCTCCATTTTTTCTTCATAAAGAATTTTCTTTTCATATTTTGAAGCATGTTTATTAAACGGTGTTATTTTACCACGTGAGCACAAGGTTTCCCATAGTGTGAGATATAAGAGGATTGGCGGATTTACAAGTCGTGAAATATTATCATTTCTCATTCGGTTCTCAGATTCACACGATGTTTTCCTCTACCAAACACAGTAAAAGTTATAATTTGAGATTCGAGGTATTCGTTTATTTGTCTCTTTCCCCCTAACCGTGATGCCCCTATATCATTCGTAACATAAGCCCCAACATAAATGTGATTGCCGTTAAAAGATAAGGTTATTTTCAAAGCAATAAAAGATAGCCATAGGCTAAACACTTTCTTAGTTGGTAATTATAAGTATTTTAATGATAAATTAGGTATCTACAATGGTTATTTCCTTGGTTTTAAGCCTGGGACTTTATTAAGCTTACATACTACTCATCATCATCATCATCGGCTCACTAAACGTCCCCACCGAGGGGCTCGGAGCCTATCCTAAGTTAGGAGTGACACACATACACACTACACCAAATGTCAAATTTGATAATCCAAGAATTAGTTACTACGAGGATTACATTGATCTAACGCAATTATTTTTTAAACCGAACAGTGAATCATTTTATATAGAACACGGGATTTATCGTTTTCAGAATAAATTAAATTATGCATTTGTTCTCGTCCAGTGTAAGCATAGTTCTTTGGTAACCATGATGAAGTATTGCTTTACGCTAATTTTAGGTGCACAGCTTGATTTGTAGTGGAGTAATTCTGTTTTGGATTGGGCAAATCGAGGTGAAGCAATTCGTGTCAGGCCCTGGGCACTTAAGGCCGAGCTGATATGAGGCTCGCATTGTGTGTTTAGAACTTAACTGACCTACTTACCCCTTTGTGGCCGGAGTGCAGTTATAGCTAATGATAAGCTATCGCCATTGTGATCGATATCGTGCTAAACAAACTGTACCAATTGTGGCCACAAAAGTACTATCTATTTTCCCTGTTTTGTTGTAGATTGTTCAAATTTTATTAATAAGTTACAAAATATTTGTTCGAATCCAATGTTTACCAACAGTGGGTCTAAAGGGCCAAACAAACTGACGAAATTATTTCCTACGCCAAATATCAAATTCATTTCTGACTGCATCAGTTTCTTTAAGTTTGTATTAGAAAAGTAAGCGCATTTTTTTTAACTTAAATATGGGAAAACTTGGAGATCTAATTAGGTCACACAAATTATAATACTTCTACAAATAGTCATATGTTCAATTTTTTTTATTATTAATTGCTCCATTGTGTAAATTGGTTAATTATGATGTATTGTAGTTATAAATAAATGTTCAAAAATAATGTTCAATTTATTATTTCATTTAAACGCGATCTGCTTTTTTTGTTATACTTTTGACGTCTGGTACGGAAATGTTTCTCATTAACCGAACCTTTGAACCGGATTAGATTTTTTGTGGGATTTTCTTAAATAGAATAGATATGCAAAACTTTGTTATCGTTACTTTTATTGTGTAGCGATTTTGAAATGCGAGAAAGGATTAGCGAGACAAGTTTGACCAAGAAGAAATTAACTTTTAATATCAAAACTACAAAGCAAAGGAGATATTGAAAATTTGAAGGACTGTAATACATTAAGGTTGCAAGAAATTGACCGCATCGTTTCAGTGGGCTTACGTAAGTGTCGGTGCATCGGCCTCAAACCGGTTTCGTCGACTGTTCATAATTTACTCCGGTAATCTTGACCCACAGCTGTCCGCCACTATACACGTTTTCCTTTCTCAGTTTTGACCGTAGATGTGAAGATTGGATTCTATCTCCGGAAATTGGTGGGTGTTCGTGGGCGGTATCATGAAATCTTACTCTACTATTGTCTATTACCTTGTACTTTTTTTAAGGGCCCTTTGAAATTAAATCACGTATAGAATTTTTTTTATTACATCACGACATAATTGTAGTTGTATACAAATTTTATTAGGGATTTAATATATCCTTAGTAACATTTTATATTTCTGATTCTGCTGTAGGACCAATAATAACAACTTTTTGGTACTTTCTACGCATAATGGACTTCACTGCATGTTTTTTTTGACGACGTTCATGGTTATTATCGGTTCCTCTTAATTCAATTTACTCACGTATAGTAAAAAATGTGATACAGGGTGATAAAAATCATTAATTTTAATCAAATTAAGGTATAATCCACTATGGCATTCCGTTTATAATAAATTAAAGTTATTGCGATGTGAACCCCGGTATCTGTACAATGTAGGAGTGAATTTATGACCACTGCCTCAGGGAGACAACTGAAGGGTGCAACCCCAAAAGTACCTTTCTCCCACTGACTAAAATGATTGCCTTTAATATTTTATTACTATGTATTTTTCTTTATTCGTAATCGAAATTAAGAAAAATGTACCATTGATGAGTAGCATTTATTTTGAAACCTAAAGCATCGATCAAATGATGTCTCATTTTAAGAAACAAATCAAGTTTGAGTCGATGACGACGACTGGATAGACTTGGCACGTAGGGCAGATGAGTACTTTTGTTTCCGACGGTTTCTATAACCGGAGTTTGTTGTAGTTTTGGAGTAACAGTACTTTAATATTGTGTTTAATTGTGTTGTTTTCTTTATTTTCAGTGCTGCGGACAGTGCGGACTCACCTATTCTGGAGGAGGCCGGTGAGAGCGGCTCCGAACAGAAGCCAAAGCCGCTTGTCAAATATGGCGAACTTGTTATACTTGGGTAAGTGGATTATTGTATATAGGGCTACAAACAATAAACTTAGATTTAAAACTTCCACACTGACAGCTAAAAAAAATACTTCAACCATCCTTGTTCGTTAGTGACAAAAACGACATCCATGTAATTCATACTGCAAGCTGACTCGAAGATGTTTAACTTCTACACCGTCCAAATCTGGATAAGTGGCAGCCCTAGTTGTTTATGTTTAGACTGTGAACGTTAAAACATTGGAATTATCATAGAAATGTTCCTAGAATATGATTCATCGTATGGTTATTCCCCATACATGTGTTACCCTAAAAAAATTGGTATTAAGGAAAGATGTTTTGGTTTTAAAACGTTTTCAATATATTATCGTTTCGTAATATTATATCTTGGAAAGCTGAAATCCCAACCGAGGCTGTGGTAGGTACAGTTATTTTTTTTTAAATATTATAATGTAGTATAGGCAAACGAGCGAGCGGCCACCCGATAGAGATCCACAATTGCAGATGCGGTGCCTATCTATAATCTACGGAGGAGGGGATGCACCGTGTGAAAATATTTTTCCTTCCCATGCATCCCCTCATCCACTTCACTTCCCATCATTTCCTTCTAAGAAAAAGGGTAGGAAGTGAAAGAGGACTAAAATTATGCCCCCAATACCACAATCATCATACGAAACGCGGAATTTCATCCACTTCACGCCTGTCTTTTGTGCGGTCGTGGTATTGCATCGGGCGAACCGGGCTAATTCGTGCGAAGATTTTAAAGCGGACTCTACCACTGTTAATGTTGAAGATATTTTGATACTAATTATTTTTACCATTTCCCATTGCTAATGTAGTTTTTGTTTTTTTTTATTTAATTTTTGAATGGCAGAGATTTTTTTATGACTGTGTGTGGATTTTCCTTGACCAGTGAGTCAACGATGATTGCATCTACCCTTGTTGGTGCACCGTACGAACCGGACACGCAAATGTCAATTCTAACGACAAACTTGCATTCTAATAAAGATTCTTTTCATTAAATGATATATGACATATAACTTTGTATCAACGTAAATATGAATTATTTTATTTGTATGTAACTTTAAGCTGAATTTATGTTACTTACGGATAAATATTAGATTTTTTACCTCAGACTAAATTAAGAGGAATTGTAATAGCGTGTGACGGATTCCTTTATGATTATTTTCGAGGCATAATGACATGACATTAAACAAAATTCCAGTGAATTTAAGATGGGTAATAAATTAGATATTTTGATACTATAAAGTTTCCAAGCAGGTAACTTACGTACTATTCCGTGTATTTTTTTTTAGCCCGTTACTCATGTTCTTCGACGTATGTCCCAAAACACATGTACCATTGCCACCTCATATGCGCTTGCATGTTAAAACTTGTACGGAGGGTGTCTGAATCATCACGCTGACTCTTTTGGACATGATTAGTCATGGTGTTTCTTATGTTTGTACAGTTAACTTCTTTCGCGGTATGCAACTTACAGAAAAAATTGTCTTGGATTTTTTTTAAATTGGGGTGTTATACATGTTTTGATAACATATATGCACTGATCATTGTATAGTGAGGAATAGGTTAACTATACCACCAGTTTTTTTTTGTGACTGAATTGCCACTGTTTGCCTTGAGGAGGCATTTACAGCTTCACCGGGCTTGAGGTGGCCGTGCGCAGATGGCACTTAGCCTAAACCTCGAATACCGCCAGTAAAGCACACTATACCTTTACTTATTTTACTTTTGCCGTTATTGATTTAAACACTTATTTTACAAAACTTATTGTAAGAGATTTATTTTATGAAATCCGATGATATGTATATCTACTTTTCGTGGTTAGGTAAATTATTTAGTGGTAGTTAATTTTTTTGTGTGAATAATTTGATTATTTACAATTTAAATTATATTATCCAAAGAAATCGTTACCAAATTAGGTTACCCGGTTTAAGTGAATGGGATCAGGTGAATAACTTTTTACTGCTCTAATGTGATTGAAAGCCGGTTTTTGGTCTTCCAAAGTCTGAATAATATTATTTCATGTGTATAAAGAGGTCTGATACGTTAATTTATACGACTCAAAAAAAGCGAGACGCTCTAGTGGTTCGCCTTAGTGTAAATTTAGAATAAGAAATCTACACTAAGGGTCTATATTAATGGTGTTATAGAATATGAGTACGGCAATTAATGTTGGAAACATGAATAACCTAGTTAGGATTTACTAGATCGTTGTATATTTGCTACGTATGATTTTCCTACACCAATTAATCTATATTTCTAGAGGCCGATGTCATTGGACCCGATCAAGGTCACAAACGCGACCGGGTTAACGCACAAAGGCAAGCGTTATTGCGCATTCCTTCCACTTCTATGATTTTCGCATAACGATCTGCATCTTTATCGCTACACACGTTAGGTTTTGCATTACGTTTTGAATCTTACAGATATAACTGACAGGCATAATTGAGTTTCATAGTATAGGCTGACAAAGTTATCTGACCCGGTGGCTATAATTCAAACTAAATTATGAAAAGTAACAGTTCCGACATACCGCAATGCAATAACTAACGTGTGTGGCTTGCATTATTGTTTTCGCGGAGCGAAGTCTTTGTGTAAGATCTCTTTGAAGAAAATTTTAATACATACTCATTTTTAAGTACATTTCTTTTAAACTTTAGAAAAAATTTACTCGTAAGTTTAATACATAGTTTAAAAATCTTGATGTTAGATTAATTATACTTTTATTACAGCTTCTTTCTATGTGATGTACAGTTAGCTTCATAAATACCGTAGCAGACCAGATATGCAAATATATAGGTAATCCAAAAGTAATCAATTATATAAGTACAACAAAAGTCCTTAAAGTAATAGATACATTCACACTGCTCAAATACATCGGTACATACACAGTGTCAAATATATGAGTATATGCAAGGTGCATATAAATATAGTAGCAGGCACAGCGTCATAAAGCTGACTGTACGTCTGATAAGACAGTTGAAAACTTATGTTGCAACTTTGAAAGTACAAAAAGGTGATGGAAAAGAATAAAAATTTAATCAAAACCTCGCAGCTGATATAGCATTGATTTTTCTGTTCTCATTTACAAAATAGTCAATGTGTGAAGTGTATGATTCCTTACATCGTCAGTTTTATTTCTATACATAAGTTTGAAAATCAATTGCGTTGTAAATAGTAGCAATGTTGTGTTACGTAAAAACATAAAATTTTATCGGCCCTTGTAATAAATGCTTTGAATAAATCATTATAGATCGACAGATTGTTGGCGCGTGTAATACCATTACGTGTTGCATTGGCAATGAACGTGTATCAAGATGCAGATGCACCTGACAACGTTGTTGGTTGGGATTCGCTGCGTGATCTTGAAATTAAGCCAATATTGTTCTAAGATTAACAATTTGATGTTAAAATAATCAATACAACCGAGAAATACGAAGTTCTAACTAATCATGATGTCATAGACAACAAGAGTTGACGGCCAACCTCCAATAAATGATGAGATGAGAGCCATCTAGAGAGAGAGAGTTAGAATAAAACCTACTATTCTCTGAGGAAAATTACGAATCGAATGTCATCTCCTTCGTCAGAATCTCTTCAGCCGTTTAGACTAAGTTTACAATATTGATATGATCGCGTACGCCTCGGGTGATAATACCAGTCGTAAAATTTCTTATACCTGCCGTTCTGAATAAACAATATGATTTTATAAACAAAAGGTCACATATGACGCGGGACAATTTACGCTAAAGTTTGTGAATAATAAAATTTTGAGGAAACTTTTTCACCAATTAGCATATTATATTGTATATTCGTTATTCATATTATTTAATTTTATATCATAATAATGAATTGTATACCATTTTGCAACGTGTGATATGCTTCTTCTTCTTCTTCTTCTACTTCTTCTAGCTCTACAGCCCTTTGTGGGCCTTGGCTTGGTCCAGCAACATTTTCCACCTCGGTCTATCTCTGGCCACGGACTTCCAATTTGCTATGCCCACTTTTTTGCGTCCTTATTTACGCCGTCTATCCATCGGAGCTTTGGTCTCCCTCGACTTCGACGACCTTCGGGATTACTCGCCATAACACTCTTAGTGACTCTGGCTTCACTAAGTAGAAATTAAGGGAATATTTTTCAGGGTTTTAATTAATTTTTCGTTATATCTTATTGTTCAAATCGAGGTTTGATCTTGCGATCAAATGAGATATTCTTTACGGTTTACGGAAATAACTGCAAAATTATATTTAGTCGCGTCTAAACGATTGTCCTAGATAATCACGGAGCGTGAATCTTTGTAATCATTATTGTTGACCGTGGACCGTTATTTGACTTGTAAGTACTGGCTACTGGCGATTGCTCGAAACGGTATTGTAAAGATCGAAATATTTCCTTAATAAATTAACACATTCAATGCCGTTACTATTTCAACTTATGAAAGTGAACTTGGTGGCATTGAACGTGTTAATATCCTCTACTATATCGGATTCAATGTATTGTGTATCGGAGAGGCTCCCGTATTGAAAAGAAACTAAGTACCCTATGTCTTTTTCCAGACTATATTCTACATCGATGATGAATTTCAGAGAGATGCGTTGAACCGTTCTGGAGATACCTTCTAACAAACATCCAAACTTTCGCATTTGTAAGATTTATATAGGTACTCGTATATATGTCGTTTGTCGATGTTACGAAGTCATTGTTTTATTAATATGAATTGTTTCCCATTTATAAACAAATTTCACTTGCACCGTATTTAATAACAAAATGAAAGTTTTAAATACATTGCGTTGTGCGATGTTGAAAAGTTGAAAGCGTTGCTCCTTGTGTGTATCACCTTAACTAATGTTCTATACTAAAGTTATAAACGTCCAAATGTTAAGGTCTACTCATTTTTGTCTTTTGCGATTGTATTCCTTTCTGTATTTTATAAGGGCTGATAAAATGAAACCTGTAAAGAGAAACATCACATAAGCACTAAAAATAGG